TCTCCACCTCGGCAGCAAAGCATGCAGCAGGCGGGGGTCACTCTCCGAGCAGCACGGCACAGAGAAGGGACCAACCACAAGAAGGGAGTGAATAGTTCCCGGCACTGCCGGGACTGGGACCCCTCTGCCTGAAGCCTGGACTGTCAAGCAAAAGGATCGCCCTCTTGGCTCTGCCTGGCACAGTGCCAGCAGCACCTCACACCTTCCTGCACCACTGCAGGAGGCACACCTGCCACACACGGGCCATTCCAATTGCCCTGCACAAACCTGACGAGAGACAAAGACAGGTCTGTGACAGCTGGCAGGCACCCCCACGGTGAGGCCCCTACAGCGTCCCTGGGGACAGAGCCAAGCTGCCCCGGGCAACATGAAAGGGCTCAGACTCTCCTCAGGGAAAAGCTCCAATCTGATCCATTCTCCTGTCTGTCCTTAACATGGAAGGAGAAGTGTCCGAGACAGTGAAGAGTCTGGACACCATGAGGCCAGCAGGGTGGGGGCCTTACCTGGGGGGTCTCTGCAGACGTAGCAACTGTACTGCTCTGGAATGCTGTCCTCCAGCAGCCCCATGCACACACTGTGCTGCCAACACAGGCACTCTTCACACTGCAGGGACACAGGGTACCATGTTACCTGAGTCCACACTCACAAGAACCTCGATGGGCAGTGTCCCCGCAAGCTAAATCATCGCCATCATGAGCAAGTCATATGGTAACTCCTCCTCCACCCCCATGTGGGGACCCCAGGCCAGTGAGGCAAACACAGCCGAGCAGAGTTCCCGTTGCAGCTCCTACAGCTGTGCAGCCTTGGAAGCTGCCGGCCTCTAGTGTGCAGGACCCCTCTACTCTTCCAGCTACCACTAATGTCCCCCGGGTTCCCGTGTCACCAAATTGGGCTGTGCTTCCTCTTTTCTTGAAGACATCCCAGCTACAGCAAGAAGCAGCTCCTCCCTGGATGGAGGAGACTACGGAAAACTGCCCATTTCTCCTTAGTAAAGGGTGTCTGCAGTGCCAGGGTGCTAACCACTCCGCTCGAGGAGAGAGATGTGACCGTCTGCCTGCGTCGTACAGGTGGCAGCCTTGACCACCCACGGGGCAGGTGGGCTCTGGTCGACGGGGCCATGGAGAGCTGCCTGCATTGAGGGGAGCAAGACCTGCTGCTGTGAGAAGGCCCCTCTGCAAGGTGAAGGCCGAGTCACCCTAGCAGCTAGTAACATTGGGTGAACTTCAACAGCCCCTAATGCAAGGCGCCAGTGACAGACCCATCCTTGCGCTGCCGCCGGCCCATGGCACCAGCAGGGGTCTCAGAGCCACAGTTCCACACACGGTACCAATGGCCGGGTCTTTGAGGAGGAGATCCCCATGCTGCCTTCTGGGGAGAACTCAAAACCACCAGTCTGCAGTTGGCAGCTGAGCTTGTGGACACCTGCGAGCCCAGGCTCTCCGGGGAAGGGGTGCTGCACTTGACTTGGTCAGAGGGACCCTGTGTGTGCGGGGCACAGCAGGAGGACATGAGTCCTGAAGGCTGTGGCCTTTCAAAAGTGAGTCATGAGGGCTTACTTACAGGGCACCCTTGGGTGGCTCTGAACCACCCACCTTTCCGTCAGGTGTCCTAGGACTAATCAGTCACTCAATGCCCAGGAAAGGAGAAGTGGCCCTGATGTGAGAAAACAGTGCACTTCAATTGATGAAGACACGTCCTAACCACTGCTCCTGACAGGTTAAACCGCCACCAGCACAGTGAGCACGCAGCGCAGTCGCAGCCGGGCCCCGGTACCTGGATCATGAAGCCGTTCTCCTCATCCAGCTCACAGACGCAGCGCACAATCTCATTGATCGCGTCGTCTTCATCCTGAGACTCCTCAAAATTGGTGGAATCAAAGTCCTGATTGTACTCATCCCCGCTCAAAAGCAAGCTCTCCGTGGAAGAGTCATCTAGGAATTCCATGTCCGACAGGTCTAGAACATGGACGAGAGTCTGTCAGGCAGTTTGCCACTATCGTGTCCTTTCCCTAAAAGAAGGCACTACAGCAGTGAATTACGCTGTCACGTGTTCGAAATGGGGGCGGGGTGGGGTGGGGCACCAAACAAATGGCAACTGAGAAGCTGTCTTGGGACAGGCACCGGAGGATGGACCCTGGAAGCTCATGGTGACCACGGCTGCCGTCCACCTTCCTGTGGCCAGCACTACAAGTTACTCAGGAAGCACTCCTATGTCTTGGCTCTAACCTAATGTTACCAAGTCAAGCTACGTTTCACATCAGTGATTTCAAAGTGCATACTACTCAAATGCTTTCACAAATATTGCCCCACTGGGTGAGAATTCTAGATAGTCCTCTGGAGATAAACAGAAGCTCAGGGAGGCTGAGGCGCTTGCCTTAGGTCTAATGCCAGGGCTATTATCACAGCATTAGGAGCACCAACTACCGCAGTACCTGAGCTGTATCAGGAACAGAACTATGCACATGAAATAAAAGGGAAGCTGCTTCAGGTAACACTTCAAGGTAGGGACAAAACCTAAAAGCCAAGTCAAAAAACAAACAAATCCCAAAACATAAAGTACTAAATTCTGGAGAGGCTGCAGAGAGATTGGAACCCTCCCTCATACGTCCTTCCTAAACCACTGGGAATAGAGATTCCACAGGAGCCAGCACTCGCTTTGTGGGGTATCTGCCCTCGGAAGGAAGGGTCAGAACACGAACAGACACCAGGCACCACTGAGCACTGGAGCACTGTTCCCGAGAGCGGGAAGATGGAAACAAACTCAATGGCCACCAGGAGAAGACTAGGCAAAGTCACTGGTACACACAGTGTAATACTGTGCCTCCCTGAAAAGACCATGGCAAAACCACAAAGCACTCCCCATCCTGAAGGGACCTGGAGAGAATCCTGCCGAGTGTTATCAGCCCATCAGGAAGGGCAAATATGATAGGAGGCCACTATGACAGGGGAAGTAGTTATGGACCAAAGGGAACAGACTTTGGAGTTTACCAAGGGGTGCGGCCTAGGGAGGGAAGTTCCAGCAAGGAGCGAGACTGCTGACAAGTGTTCCCACGGGGCAGTGGAGACAGTCCACCAAAGGGAGGAACTGGGAACGGGTACACCACTGGGGAGTTGTGAGTGGTTGAAACTTCTAAGTGCAAAGCTGATGATTCGATGATCTAAACTCCTACCTAATTTACAATTTAGAACACCCCCAGGTTGAACACGGGACAGTGTGTGTCAGCATTGCCCTTTTAAAGTTAGAAGACTGCATTCTTAATGATTTCACCAGCAGTCCTCAAACTGGGACCACAGTCCCTGAGGGGTTTTGATAAGGATCTGCACTTAGGCATCACCTTCTAGAAACTCACCTGTACGCACACTAGGCGCTACGTCAATGTCAGGTTTTGGGTTTGCCTTTCTCAAAGTGTTCACCATGGTGAGTGTTCATGCTTGAGTCCTGCCGGCTTGGTGGGTTAGGTGTGGGGCTGCTAACCTCAAGGTCGGTGGTACCAACCCACCAGCTGCTCCAAGGGAGGAAGAGGAGGAGGCTGGCTGCTCCCATATTTAGTTTCAGAATCCCTCTATTGGGCGGGTCTTAGTTTTGTTTTTTAAGAAAAAAATCTTATCACTGAAGATATAGGTGCTATAGCAAAGTATAGTGAAGAAACCAAATGGTGCCCAGCTTTCAGAAGGACGAGCATTTGGAGTCTTATAGGTTTGGCTTCAAAAAGAAGCCATTTAAGTGAGGTGCCCACTAAGACCACATAAGAAGCCCACCAGGCTGAGTGATCCAAGGATCATAACTAATATAATCCAACTCTGAAGGAGAATGGTAGCAGAGCTTAAATTGTGAACATTTAGTTTGCAGAAGGATACGGATGACAGTGGAAGCCTAAAACCCATGTGCAGGATCTATACATAGATTAAGCCTCCGGTGAATGTCCTCTGATGACAGCTGAGGGAGGGGAGTAGCCTTACCATCAGACAGAAAGCCAATCACAGCAGTGGCAGCAGCTAGGCTAAAATATAACATCTTATCCTTTGATCTCCTGTTTGACTCATTTTAAATTTGTTCTCGTTTTTAATATTTTCTGCTTTCTTTTTGAGGTTTTTTCATCTGTTTTGTTATTGTTAGTTTTTTGTTGCTGTTGCTTTTTTAATTGTTTTTCTATATATGAAATGCAGGACAGGTCAACCTATAGGGACAATAACTGGATTAATGATTCCTTGGACAGAATACCTGGAGAACTATGAGAAAATGAGTGTAAGAATGAAGTAACTGTTCTAGAGCTGACTGTGATGCTGACCGTACAATTCTCCCTGATGTGCCTGAATGACTGAAGTGGACGTGATGTGATCTCCACAGCAATGAAAAGAAAGACCCTAAGGGTGCAGGAGCATGACTGGCTGCACCTACTTTCACCACTCAGATCCACTGAGAGAATGGCCCGAGGATACTGACAGGCGGGGCTTTTCTCCGGGAACATGCTCCGCAGAGCCAGCGAGCTCCCAGAAGACCGAGTGAGAGGAGAGGAGCACCGGTCCAGAAATTCGAAGGAATTGTCTTCGTAGTCTGAATAGTCTGCAACACAAAAATCAGGGGGACCATGAATAAGCGTCTCAGGCAATCCAGATGAAGGTCCTGGGGAGGCCACACGTACAGCACCGTGTTCCTCTCTGCTCATCAGCAGCCAGGTCACCAAGGTACAGAGTGTGGCAAGAACTCCTGGGAAATAAACCAGACAGTACAGGAGGGGCTTCAGAAAGTTTGTGGGAAAATTCCATTGCCTTTTAATTCCATATAGACATGAACTTTTTGAAGCCTCCTCATATGTATGAGGGGGTACCCCCCCCCTCAAAATGGAATTTTTCTTCAAAGCTATGTATTTAATTTTTTAAAAAATTTTTACAAAACAACCATATCACCTTCAAAGTACTCTCCACTACACTTAATACATTTGTCAAATCTGCAATTCCATTCTTGGAAACAATTTTTGTTTGGATGGCTGACAGCACCTCCCTCATATTTTTCTTCACCTCTTTTACATCACCAAATCGCTGTCCTCTCATGTACCTCTTCATTTGCGGAAACAAAAAGAAGTCATATGGAGCAAGGTCAGGTGAGTAAAGTGCATAGGACAAGAGAGGCATGCTGGTTTTTTTTGCCAAAAACGGATGCACTGAGATGTCTGCATGAGCAGGTGCATTGTCGTGGTGGCAAAACCAGTCCCCCGTCTGCCACAAATCAGCCTTTTGTCGCACACTGTTATGCTACCTTCTCAGAACCTCTAAATAGAAAGCTTGCTTAACAGGCTGACCTGGTGGAATGAAATCCAAATAGATTATCCCCTCACATCCAAAAACAAACGAGCATCAGTTTTTGTGGGGGTAGCCCCTTGTATATGTATGCAGGGTTCATGTTTTCTAACTAACTAAACAAACCCAAACCCATAGCCATCAAGTCGATTCCAACTCACAGGGACCCTATTTAGGGTTCCTGAGGCCACACCCCTTTACAGAAGCAGACGCCTCATCTTTCTCCCACTCGGAGCAGCTGGTGGAGTGGAGCCACAGACTCTCGGGTTAGCTGTCCGTCACTAACCAACAGCGGTGTAACCTTGGCTTGCAATCCTAGGAGAGGCTCTCATGCTGTCTAGCAAGCTTATTATAAAGGCAACAGTGAATTTGATAAGTCAATCCTTCAGCAACAAACAAATCCAAAGCCAAACTCACTGCCATCGAGATGACTCAGACTCATATTGACTCTACAGGACAGGGGAGAACTGCCCCTGTGGGTTCTGAGGCTGTAAATCGTAAGGGAGTAGAAAGTCTCGTCTTCCTCCCTCGGAGCAGCTGGTGGTTTTGAACTGCTGATCTTGCAATTAGCAACCCAACTTGGACCCACTATGCCACTCAGACTCATCTCAATAACAAAACCTCTGGAGGCCATGAGTCAGTCTGGGAAGAAATCAGCACCCCTGGTTCTCCTCAGTCAGGGCAGGGGCAGGGAGAAGACAAGGCAGTGGTGGGTGGCTCTAGGCCTGGGATGGCACACAGGAGGGCACCTCTGACAAGCTGCAGGGGACACAGTTGACACCCAGAAAGCAAGAGGCAGAGTGGGGGAGACAACAGGAGATGAGTTGCGAGGCTGAGGGATGGCAGGCACTGGTTTGACAAGATCTAGTCAGGTGGAGATGGGATAGTGCGGGGTACCGGGGCAGAGGCTACCGCAGTTGTCCAAATAAGAAATGAAGGCAGTGAAGATAAACTGAGGGCGGGAGTGACGTGACACACTGGATGGGGCGGGTGGAGATGGCTAAGGCTGGGCATATTTCCGGGTTTCTGGATGAAACATCATGCTGGTGAACATAACATTCTGGAATGGGACTGAGGAATCTACGGGAGGTGGAGATGAAGTGGACTGTGGGCTCAGAAGAGGGCCTAAGATGGACGTGCCCCTAGAGGAGGGCTCTAGGAAAGGAAGGAGCAATGACAGGCACAGACACCCCTCCATCCTAATGGAGCCAGAGGAGAAGCTAGGGCACAAAAGTGCAGGCCCACATGTACGTGTGGTGAACAGGTGATGATAAGGGGCCCTCCGATAGCTTCTACTTCCTCAACCGAGTGTGAGCCTAAGGACACCAGGGAAAGGACTACCTAATAGGCAGGGAGTGTGGGAAAGCTGAGGAAAGATCGGGGCTGGGGTTGCGGGCGTACAAGAGAAGATTGGTAACCACATTCATCTATACCAAGGGTCAGCTCAGTTGACAGTGGGGTGGGCACAACAGGGGTACTTTTTGATTCAGAGTAAAAGAGACCCTTTTTCTGGTACATGGTGTGGCCCACAGTGGCCACACCAGATCATTCAGGCACAAAGACAGAGAGACATTCAATCATTGCTGGGTCCCGTCAGTACTTCACCAATGACCCTCTGGACAGTCTATGAACTAGCAGGAACTAGCCCGGGCCTTAAAACTCACTGCCATAGAGTCAACGCTGACTCATAGCAGCGTCCTGTTTAAGGGAGTAGAGAGCCCAGTCTTTCTCCCTCAGAGCTGCTGGTGGTCTCGAACTGCCGACCTTGCAGATCGCAGCCCAACTCATAACCACACCATGATGACTTTATTTCATCTTCTCAACACAACCTCTGAAGCAGGAACTAGCACGGCCTTCTCGAGGGGAGGGAATGGGGGTTTAGAAAAGGTGGGTGGCCTGTCAAAGATCCCCCAGCTCCAAGTGTCACGAACAGGACATGACCCCACACTCAGGAGAGCAAACCCTTCTTTCATCCACTCCATGCTACGCGGTCTCCCCAGCATAAAGACAAGTGGAAATAGTCCCATGGTAAACATGAGACAGAAACCCAGTTTGGAGCTAACCAGAGGACACGGCCGACACTGACTCATTCTGCCTCCTCTCAGCAAATGAACCAAAGCTCTCTGCATTCCCCAATTCCTTCTCCTGTGGGACTAAGAATGAAAGTCAGCTGCCACGCTTCCCACGGAAATCAAATGTTAGCCCTGACGTCACGCTCCTTCCTGCAACACTCCAACCTCTCAAAGCCTGGTAAGAGAAATGATTTTGTATCACACACACTACACTGACTAGATGACACCTTCCCAAAGATATTTGCGTGTGGTTCCTATTGCTTTTCCAATGGTTTTATACTCTGGCTGGCAAACTCCGTGAGGTGCAATGGTGCTTTTACTACTGCATGCTTTGGATTCTCTTTGTACTTTCCAGCTCAAATTCTTGCTAATCTCGGCATGCCTCTTAGCTTCTTCATCTTTACAGATACATCTGTCCAATGAGCTGAAGTGGCTTGCTCAGAAAGTAGCAAAAAAATGTCACTCTGATGCTAAGATGGTGATTTCTCACATTCACACAGTGAACTCAAGGCTAGATAGTTTTGTAATTTGTAAATTCATTCTGGTCATCAAAACACATCTTGACCCACTTTGGGATGGAAACATTATTTTTTTTAAATGTAACTAACGACTATTTTCCAGAACTTTGTTTAAAATCACAGTAACCATGGAAACATAGTAATCCAACAAACAGGCACAAACATCTGGTAGAAGGTAGAAGGAAGAAACCACCTCCCAGTGTGGAAGGCGAACTGCTCCAAACCCTGTGTCTCGGTGACCAGCTCAGTCTTTGGGCTGGTGTGGATTCCACTGAGCTGTGCGTGCAGGGGAGTGGTGGAAATGAAGGGAGAGAAATGGAGGCACAGGAGGCCCAAGGTACTCGCTGGGAAAACTTCTGTTTCTCTCTGCCTTAGTCAACAGTCTGCAAAGGCCTACTGCGGAGGTCATCATCGCGGGGCCTGAATGAGGCAATATACACGTGAGGCTTGGACCGCTCTCACTTGGGACACAACTACCAACGGCGGGGCATGCACTCACACTGGATGGCGAACAAAGTCATTGTGCTAAACACTCCTCACAGTGGTGACTGCAGACTAAAAGATGTATTATGCTAGAATCGAAAGGTAGTCATAATGGGAATTCTTTATACTATACAATGCCTTTGAAATGTTTAAAGTCCCTCATTTTCCATTTAAGGAGAAGCCCTCTAATTTAATCACCTAGGGGAACATGTCACTCCAGGATTGTAAACAGTGTCACTTCCATGATGAATAAATTCTCCTCAAATGTAATAAGGGTGACAATTAATCACAAGATGCTGATTACCTTACTCCACACGTGTTGTTTAAATATAGCACCTTCAGACTGATGCTTCTCCCCTTACGGAGGTGAGATGTTCATTTACAGGTCCAACTTTAAGATGCAAACCATGATACAACTCCCTACTCTTTAATTACAAAATAAAATGTGTAACATTTGAAGCACTAATATTTTTCAAAGCTCTTTTTAAAGCAGTGGTCTCAACCTTCCTAATGCCGTGACCCTGGAATACAGTTCCTCATGTTGTGGTGACCCCCAACCATAAAATCATTTTCATTGCTACTTCATAACTGTAATTTTTGTACTGTTATGAATTGGGCAACTCCTGTGAAAGGGTGGTTCGACCCCTTCACAGGGGTCATGATCCACAGGTTGAGAACTGCTGTTTTAAAGGATGCCCCCAATCAGGAACTGATGATAATTCTAAGGGATGAGTTTTCTTTGCAATGTTTCCTTTAGATCCTATCGATTCTAATATCCCTTCCTTTTCCCATTACCACCTAGCCCATCCTCAGATGCTCTTCTGTCTCTGTGCTCCCAAGTGTCACCCTTCTTACTGTGTCCTTGATCAGCCTTTAACTGCTACCGACTCTCTCCCACTATCACAAGTAAGATTCGGTGTATGCTACACAGCATCAAATGCAAGCATGGAAAGATTCTGTGTCTGTTACAAAGTATCAGAACAGGGCTCAGTTCACTGATGGCACAGAAAAGGACTTCAGTCCCTGGCATTCCACACTAACTCCCATCTCCAATGGAACAGCCAATCCAAGGTGCTCCCAGGCTGTGGCCGGTTGTGGGTGGACGTGGCAGCTTATCTGCAGTTTGACCCCTCTGGTGTTTGTATTATGTTACAGCACTCACAGGAGGGCTTTCGGAAGTCTGTGGGAATGATTTTTTGTCTTTGAGGCTCCAGCGTTTTCTAGCTGCTCATCTCTCGTTTGGATTCTGTGCCTTCCGGCCTGTCTGTCCTCTCCAGTCACATGTTTACAGAGATGTCCCTTGTAAGCAACAAAGAACTGGATGGAGAAAATCTATTATGATGATCTTCCTTATGGAGCTAGAGGTGCTTTTTAAGAAATGATTTATTTTTTAAATCTTACGCTATAGTTTGTTTTTCTTTTTGTCTCTGTCCTTTGATGGTCTTCTTCCAAGTTAGGCTTTTCACTGGCTTCACTTCTGGTTTGGAAAAGATACCTGATGCTTTGAATCCTCTATTGTTTGTGGTAGAAATTTTACCAGAGTTACCATAGCAAAGTCTAAAATAAAGCCTTTTCTTTCACTCCTCCAAAGCAAAACGAGTTTAACAAACCCTTCCTTATCGCCAGCAGGCCTCTCCCAGTCTACAGGTGGTTTTTATGAGTACATCTTTCATTCGACCTCCTTTGCCCTTATACCAACAGCGTGTGCTGAGCTCACCCCGTGCCCTTTCAGTGTTCCTCATCCCTCCTGGTGTCTCAGACCCCTCCTTTCCATCACTGAAAGCACATCTTTTTAGAACCTCTCCTACAGATGGGCTGGTGCTAGTACAGCCTTCCCGTCTTTTAAGTTTTGTCTGGATACCATTTAGTTCATCTTCATTCTTATACACTAATATAAGGGAGTGTCCTACAGTGGATTGGCAATAACAACCTCTCCCCTACACATAGACAGACAGACACACACACACACACACACACACACACACACACACACACGGTGTGGTAGGCAGTTTGGCACAGGGTAACTAGTCCAGAGCACAGCTGCAAATGAAAGTGAGCCATGCCAATGTCTCTCCTATATCAAACAGAGCTGTGGACCTGAGAAATTAGTAAGATAAAGGAACACACCAGAATGGCTTGGCCCCCAACCACGAGGACTTTGTCTTAGCTCATTTTGATGTTTGGAAACAAACAAACAAACTACCTACGTTGAAGAATCTCTCACATTTCAGCACCTGGCAGCAGCCACGTGGGCATACAAACCTCGCTGCTTAGATTTCTTCTTCTTTTTCTTCTTCTTCTTCTGCTTTGGCTTGTAGTGATCCTTGTCTCTCTTCTCTTTCCTCTCCTTGTCCTTGTCTTTTCTCTTACCTGAAGGACAAAAGTCAGCACTTCAGTTATCGTGGCTGGTCTGAGTCCCTCCTCTGGTCGTTCACCTCAAAGTTGCATTTATGTTTAAGCAGCTGTTGCAGTCACCTGCCCAGAGTGGATGGATTCAATTAAACTGTTGGTGTCATGAGTCTTGAACTCCTGATTAGCTTATTGGACTATAGGGGTCTTCATAGGCAGTGTTCAGAAATGCCAACTCCTGACACCTTGAAGTTAACACACACAGCAGTTACAATCTTGACAGGGGCAAGAGGCTCAATTTCCTGACGTGGCAAGAAATAAAACTCCACCATTTTAAAATGACCCTATTAGGCTAGTTAATGAGAAGCTCTCTTAGAAGGCTGTAAAAACCAAAATGAACTTTCCTCTTCGAGGTATTAAAAAAATTAAGTCAATCTGTAAACAGCCTTAAGATATCCCCAAAACATACACAAAAATAAAGGCAAAGAAAAGAAAGAATTTTAAAGTCATTAAAATGGTTTCCCCCAAATTTTATGTACTTCAAAGAAAAAAAAATGTAAGAGACCATTTAAATTTGCTCTCCATCCCTCCAAATCTCCAGGAGATCAAAGGGAAGCTTACATTTTAGATAGCCAGAATTCATTAGAGATGTTCTTAACACACAAACTTTCTCAAGGAGTGTCCCCAGTTCCCTGACCAAAATATACATGAAACTACCACACAGGTATTTAAGAAGGCATCTCTCTGGAGCTGAGCACTTACACCTACAGGAAACTTAACAGGCACCAAGAAGGGACAGACTACAACCTCCCCAGCTGCCAAGCATTACAGTTTTTGCTTAAAGATTACTTTCTATTCATACCAAATGTTGTGGAGCTTTTATCTTCCAATTTCACCTTTTTTTCTGTTTTCGTTATTCCTGTGAGTTTAGGGGACAAAAATATGGGCATTTAGTCAAGAAGTGTTCCAAGTCAGGGACCCAGTTTTAAATATCAATTGCTCATAAAATGCTATGTAAGGCTCATACCCACTATCAAATGCCTGACCTTGCAACAGAGACAGTCAGATTTCTTTTAAAACAGAACCGTTCTAGGTTTCTGCTCCCTCAGGCTGCCCAGGCTCAGATCCCGGCTCTACCCTCTGACTAGCTAGCTGTGTGGCAGACAGCGAGTGCTTCCATCGCCGTATGCTTTAGGGCCCTTCTCTGCAAACGGACCAGAAGACCACCTCCCCTGGCCATCACTGAGTCTGCCAAACTGGAAATACTGGGTTTGGGGTTTGCTTGCTTTTCATTTTCTTTTCCATGCTAGGGCAGTAATTTCAGACTATGCCACATCTAGGAATAGAGTACAAGTGAGATTAAATATAAACAATGTTAGGATACATATGCTAGAAAAGCAGTAAAGATCATTCTGACCATCCAGCCATGGGCCTCCCACTCGCGTGGAAGGCCCATGCGACATTCTGGGTTGGGGAGCGTGCTAGCATGGCTGCTACTCAGCTGAATAAATGAGACACTTAACTTAATGATAAGGTAGATTGACCTGTATAAAAAGGTTAAATGATTAATATTTACTCTCCTGTTGCTTAAAAGGAGGGCACACTCTTGCATACCTTTGAGCTCCACCAAGAAGGTGCTGCCAGCCGGTGGCAATCCACTTTTGTCTCTATCTAAAGAGAGAAACTTGGAAGGCCTATCGATACACAAAAGTAGTCCACCTTAATGACACTTAGTATTCTACCCAATAGTCCAGCTAAACTAAACTAAAATCACATCTCAAAACCTAGCTGCTGTCCAGGCACATGCAACGAGGCTTCTCTCCATTCAACCACTCCCGGTACCAGCGTCTTATTGACAGGGTTAATCCAAGAACAGTATTAACATGCACTTAAAGTATTATTTTCATTTATTAAATTATACTTGAATACTATTATGTATGAAGTCTTTATTTTTTTCCTATCATAGGTTAAACTGGGTGTCCCCCATGACATATGTAAGCCAGTGGTTCGCATCCCATTTGGGAACGGGCCGTCTTTGTGATGTTCACGTGTGATTGCATCAGTCTCTCACAAAGGAGAGGAGGAGGCACCAAACACCAACAATGCAGAGTCATTGTCCCAAGATCAACCGAGCACTATCATTGCTTCGGCGGAGCCATGGTGGTTTAGTGGGTAATATGCTGGGCTGCTCACTGCAAGGTCAGTAATTCAAAGGCATCAGCCGTTCTGAAGAGGAAAAATGAGGCTTTCCACTACCATAAAGAATGACAATCTCGGAAAACTCCCAAGGGCAGTTCTACCCTGTCCTGTATGGTCACCAGGAGTCAAAGTCGATTTAATGGCAGCGAGTCTGGTTTTACACTGGCTCCCATGGCAGGGTACTGGAACGATTCAGGGGGGCTGCAGATGCATCTTGGATTAGGGGCAACAGTACAAAAAAGTTTTTAGTTGCTAGGGAACATGGAGTCTTTTTTATTCCACCTGAAAAAGGGGAGGTAGGCCAAGGAAGTTCGGGAAAAACTATGGTCTGGACCAGCAGGCGGCATGGCTTGGGAGCAACATTTGGCTCTTTTGGTATGTACACGTGGCTCTGAAGCCAAATTGAACACATTTAAAGGTAATGGTGATTTCATTTATTTGTAAATACATATTTATGGCTCTCGAATAATTTTTAAGTTGTAAGGGATAGGATGGGCTCTCCCATTTCTCAACATTTGTCAACCCCCAGTCTACACCCTGGTCAGAAGTAGAATCACCTGCGTGAAAATTTCCAGGCACTGTACTACACAGTAGGACACTTTAGGGCCTGCACTCTGGCCAGCACACTACTTTAGCATATGTCTATTTTTACTGTATAAGTTTCACTCTATTATCACTGAAATACGTAGAAGCTTCAGGAAAAGAGATTTGTACATGCACACCTAAAGACAATTTCCTCCATAAACAGACATCATTATGATTTTAGCCGTACATTTTCCATCTATTCATTACAGCAACCAGTTCTGGTTGTTAAAGAGCTGCAAAACCCTTCAACAGGGGAAAAAAATCTCTCAAGCAGTTATGAGTAATTCTACAATCTGGTGAGAAAGAAAAATCAATTACCATAAAGAAAAGGGTTAGGGAGAAAATGAGTTAAAAGTAATGATTCAGATTTGGGGAGATATAAGAAATATTTCAAACCCTGCAAATCTTCCTATCTAGGCACTAATTTCTTAAAATGAAGTATGTGCAAGGTAACCTCACCACTGACAGTACAGAAGAAGCGGAGGAGGAAGAAAGGACAAGCTGTTCAGGGGTTACAGGGGAATCTATCTCCAAATGCACCCACATATGGTTCTTACTTGGTGCAAGAAACGGGTTGAGTTTGTTTAGCAATTTAAAAGCAAGTGAAGATGATTGTAAAGTATGTGTTTTATGTCGGGGGAGCACAGATGGGCCAGCAGGTTAAACATTGAGCTACTGCCAGTTCAAACCCACTAGCCACTCTGAGTGAAGGGGAGGCAGTTTGCTTCCTTAACCACTTAAAGCCCTGGAAACCCCATGGGGCATCCCCATCCAACCCCAACCCCAGTCCAGTAGGAATCAACCCCCGTTGACAGTGGGTTTGGTTTGAGGAAGTACTGACTCCATAGTTTCAAAGTGAGAGCAACTTTGCATAATATTAAAGGGCCAGCTGCCCAGGAAGTCAGACGTTAACAAGCCAGGGATGACTGTAGATGAAAGCGACAAAGACAGTGAGATGGTCCTTCCCACCAAAGAGCCTTACAGCAGCAGAGAAACCCTCTCTCCCCGCAATATCGCATAAACACACTTAGGAGAAGGAATGATAAAGGATTAATCGATTCCCATCCAGTTGATTTGGGTTCATAGTGCTCCATGGGGCAGAGTAAAACTGCCCTGTGGGTTTCTCAAGCTTTCCAAAAGTAGACTCCCTGGGAGCAGCAGCTAGTGGGTTCGAACCCCCAAACTTTAGGCTAGCAGCCTAGTGTTTAAGCACTGCGCCACTAAGTTTCCTTACAGCCCCCCAGGTTTCCCTTATCCGTGCAGACCAGCTGCTAATCACAGGAAAGCATGGTACCTGGTGCCGCTGTCACTGAAGTGCCTCTTCCATCAGGGGCTGTCTTGGGAGGAGGGTACATGAGCACCTGTGGACCATCCTTCTCCGCCCTGGGGAACTCATTATGGTAAGAGGGGCCTAGGACCCCGGGTGGTGCTGTAACTTCGGAACCACGACTTAAATCAAGAGGGAGACAGGGTCCCAGCTTCTCAAGGGACAAGCGTGCGGCATCAGGCACTACGCAAAACAAAAGAAGGCAATATGGTATTAATGCCCAGACACTGCCTCCGTTACCATCCACGTGGACGGAAGTGGTGCTTAACTTAAGGGTGGTGTGCGCGGCCTAAGGGGAGTGTGAAATCCAAAGTACTGAGGGAAAGGGGGGCTTATGAACAGGCCAACCATCTCTACCGCTTATCTTCTTGCGTTTGGTTCCGTATGAAATCAGCATATACATTACCCTCTGGTCCAGCAGACTCTGGCCGGCTGTGACAACTGATGGAGAATACTTTCCCATCAGGGGCTGCAGAGGGAGAGACCTTGTCTACAAAGCCGTCGGGCCCAGGCACTGTGGCCAAGCGCTGGGATCTTCTTCTCCGCTCACTATGCTGGCAAGTTCTAGGGGGGCTCACGGGCTGTGGAGGACCTAGAAAAAGATCTCCAATGTTCACGAAGCAGAAACATGCCAGGGGAGTCTTATCACAGTTAAGAAGGTCAAAAGGGGTGAGGGGCTGGTGGGGAGGGTTGGGGAGGGGGGGGTAAAGGATTTGGATCCTGCCCTCTGATGCTACCTTGTAGGGTTGTCACATGGAATGGAATGTTCCAAAGGCAATCAAAGACAAAAACCGGGCCCTCAGGCACAAAAATATTCCCAAGTCTACACCTTCCTACAACCCAGGAGATGGGACATTCATTTCAGGGTGATTCCCAAGACTGTAGGTAATTCTCTAATTGCAGACCCTGTGTCAATTGCAATTTTCCCCTCTAACTCTGAGGGGAGGGGAGTTGAGAAGGGAGGACAGGGGAGGGGATGGGAAGAGGTGACCCAAACCTAACATACATTATAGTTAGTACTTTGCTTCACTGGCCAAAGTAAAACGAACCTCAACCACTTTATCCCACCCTCATCCCCTCCATGGATGGCTTTAAACACATTTCTGGGCCTGATTCATTAAAAAAAAATTGAACACAAACAACATTCAGTCCTTGTGAAGGACAAGCAATAAGGACTCCAAAGGAATGTGATACTATGCTTGTCCTCAGATAGTTTTCCTGTTAATTATTAACTTAGGGAGTCATTTCCATCTCTAATTTAGCAACTTGGGAATCTATCATTTTTATGTCTTTGTGAGGCCTGTGTCTTTCTCCTAGCTGGCATGTAAACACATTCGGCTATCTTGTAGAGGCCAGCCTCCACGGGCCTACCATGTTCACAGTCATGTAGGGAGGGAATAAGCGATGTCAGAGGGCATGATGCTCCAGTATTTCAAGCCTAATTTAATAAAAATGAAAGACATGGTTGTCATGATTAAAAAAAAAAAAGACAAAGAAAAAAAAAATCAAAATCAATTGCTGTTAACAGGATGGTCAGTTACCAACAGGTTGAAAGTGTTCCAGATAAAATACTTAGCAATGCCATGTGACACTGAAGTGACCGTAAGTTGAGATGACAAAATGGAACGAAGGTTAAGATGACAGTGTAAGTTTCAGCTCCCCATCCTTTCTACTCATTCATTAAAAATAACAACAATCAAGAAAGGAAAAAAAACTGATCAAGTTTAAAAAATATTGTTTGGTGAAAAATATGGCCATGACAGAGGTATGAATGTATTTCACCAAGTCTTCTCCAGGCCAACATCTGTAACTGTTCTGGAAACTGTCTGATGGGGAGTTTGTCATAAGGGACAGTCATAAGTCATCTACTAATCAAGTAAGTGATTCATTTGCTGTTGGAAGAGCGGAGGACAGCAATCTCTGACCCAAAGTCTGCCAGGTCAGCTGTCTTGCCTGTCTCTAACTGGAATACTGGTCTAGTGGGGTAAGGGTAGGGTTTAGTAGCCAAACTAGACTCCATTAACTCTTGAAAGATCAGTAGCACTGAGATCTTAATGTCTTTCAAAGTATGATGACAAATGTTTTTTTTGTTTCTCACAAGTCAGAGGAAGCTCACGTTTACACTGGAAGTCTTAAAACAAGGATGAGCAAACAGGGCTGCAGGCTGAGTATGCTGACCAGAGGACACACTGAACAAGGCAGCTCACCATGAGCAGCCGTGGAATTTGAGAAAGCTCCCCACCTCTCTTAGGTCTGTTTGTTATTTTGGTTTAGGGCTTTGGGGCTTTTTTGTAATGAATCAGGCCTCTCATCGTGGTTGGCTGATTAGCTGAGCTTCATACTACAGTGGACTAGTGTTATTGAGGTTCCTCAACCAACGGTAGTCTCCGTACAGTAAACAGAAACGTACGAGTTTGGGGCTTTTTTTTTGCCCAGGAAATCCATTCCAAGCCTTCCCTACCATAGCCACTTTTTGAGTTTGTAAAAAGCCACCTTAGAAAAATACAATAGAACTACAATCAAACTCCTCTGAATGTCTCTTACAAGAAAAGTAGCTAGTTTTTAAAAGTCTGTGCTCACTAGTTTTATTTATCACTGCAGAAGCAAGCTGAGACACAAGCGCCAACTCCTCGACTGGCATTAACTCTGGGGACAGTGGTGACTTAGGGGCTTTAGGACACCCAGGAGAATCTCCAGATGCATGTTTGCATTTCTTGCTGCGAGCCTTTCCTGAAGACAAAGTTGAGGATAACAGTGCAGGTTTCTGAGTGTTGGCAGAACTGCTAATGTCAGCTTCATGTTTTTTCTGACTTTGAGGTTTAGGTGAAATCGCCTGAATAAATAATAAAAAATTGATATTTTTATTTTGGTTTCTTCATTTATTTTTCCTTTTTTTGCTCTTGTATTCTACTTTGATTGTTAAGCAACTTTAGTATCCAAAAACATTGTTAAGCAACATATAACATTTCTATTACAAATGAAAAACCAAAAAGAACCCCACAAATTATTAACTAAAATTTGAAGAGGCTCTCTTTAAAGGGATACTGTCAGCTTGTAGCCTAAGTAAAAAATGGAACAAGAGAAAATTTTCATCAGTCTCAAGAGATGAAACATAGTCTTATTGAACAAATACTTTCTGTATTAAATTCAAATATTCCCATCTGGGAACCATCCTGACAAATGATACTAACAATCAGGTACACACAGCATTTCAAGTGTGCACCGGAGGGGATGTGGAATATACTTAAGCTTTTGATTTTCAGTTATGTTCATATAGCTTTCCTCATCCAGAAAGTGAATGTTAAGGGCTAAGGAACAGTTTCCCTTTAAAGAAAGATCTCAACAGAAAAACAACGACCAAATTAACAAAAGTCTCTAACTCATTTCAGTACTGAAGGCCAGTTTCATAAGCACAGCGCCTCATGAACACACAGCCACCAGCAGTAGAGTTAAGACTGAGAAACAATACAAAACAAACAACAAACAAAAGAAAAAAAACAAAGATAAAGTGTAAGTTAAAAACATTGAATATAAAAACAAAATACGCGTCGCATTCATAGATGTTTTTACGTTCTTCCTGCAACTGACACTTTTTAAAAAGAAATTCAAGTTTTGTCTGTTCTTTCGTAAAGAACATTCTTTATTTGGTGGTAAAATGTTCTACATGGTCAAGTACATGTGGGTGTGCCCACGGTCACACGGGATAGTCACGGAGGGTGAATTTGCAAACACTGGTATTGGAATGTCTGGGGTATGACCTCTTTCTGCTGTTTGGGTTCGAGAGTCAAAGATACTTTTCCCCCTTTTAATTATTGAGATTGAGACAGACCTCTGTCAGAGTGGGCGTGTCGACACATGAACAACCTGCTCGTCCTCAAAGAGCCGCTTCACTGCCTGGTCTTCTGGGAGGGATAACCATCAGGTCTGTTATCTGCAGGTCTCTACTGTCTGGGCACCAAATGTCTGCTCTCACGAAAATACGATAGGTGCTTTAAAATGGTGGCAAATTCCCATTGGGAATTAAGTGGGGCACCTTCACTCTAGAGATGGCACGGTGGAAAGACCGCATCCAAGTTGGGTGTCAAGTGTCTCATTCATTCGGGCATCATCTGCTGTTTGCTCATTAGACATGTGTGTATGTGCAGTTGAATAAATGGAAAAAGCACTCCATAAATGGAAACATTCCTAAGCTTATCATAAAAGGTGTTGCCAGAAAAGTAATTAGAGCCATTACTTGTAAATAAACAATTTTATTATTCACCTTCACATCTGTGAAAGACATCACCACAGCATCCATTACTCTCAAGTTACAAAGTTATAAAACAAGATTTTAAAACTTAAATTAATATTTTGATAAGGTGCTTAACTTCTAAAACAAGGACAAATTAACATTTTTAAAACCTTACTGAATTAATATGCAACTAATGCAGGTTTTACCCCAAAGAAAATGTAACATGACATGTGCCTACTACAATTAAATAATCTATAATTAATCACCTAAGACTGAGAGGTTCCAGACCAGAATCTGGGCATTTTAAAATGATACATAAGATGCCTCCATTAGCACAAGTCAGTCTTGGCTACAGGCCTGTTATTATTCTTTTACTTGTTAGGACAGCAGAAGTGACACTTAAGGCCTCTCTCTGTTAGGTCTTTGGTTGATCCCAACAGAGATGGGCTCAAGAGCTTGATAACTCGGCTTTTTCTATTTGAATCACTTGGCAAAAAAAAAAAAAGAACTATAGTTATAAAACATTTTCACACTAAAATCAACCTGAATGACAAATTTTAAAAGGTGGAATTTTAAAATCACACTGTGTTCCTTTAAAAAGGAATCTAATTTACAAAAGTTCATTCATGGTTTTTGGTCTCTTGGTTACAAAACTGGCAAGGGTGTTCAAAATTGTTTTTTTAATCATGTAAATGGAACAGCCGAGTTGCTCATTTTTATTTCTATGATTTTTAACCCAATTATGAAATGCTGTGCTTGGTATTTCTCTCTGCAACAGACCTGACCCTGTCTGCGCTTTCATCCACAATCGCAGTCCCCTCAGAGGTCTTGTGCATAATGAAAGACTGACATTGTAGTGAATTTTCCAGAAATATTTTATTACCCAAGTCCCTGATTTACTGCATTCTGAGAATACCATGACGAAAACAGTGACAAAAATACAAAATCTTTTTCTATCTGGGATGTTCCGTGTAGCGATACACAGTTAAAAAAAAAAAGAGAGAGCATTGGGAATGGAGTCGGTGGGTATCAGCAAAGACTTAACCATTGGGCAAGTGGAGAACCAGAGAAAGATGTGTCGACACTAATTTCAAAGACCACTGCATTCAGGGTAGCCTCACTGGAAGCACCCTGACAATGCACTGGTGGTAATGGATGGGCAGGCCTAAAACCACCTGAACAACTCAGCCCACATCAATGGGACTGGGTGGTATTTGTAAAACAGACATCCACAGGAGCAAAAAGATGCCCGCCATGAAGGATCCTTGATTAGGCTAGTGATAAAGGAAACCAAAGGACTATGAAAAGGATTGGTTTGAACTACATTAAGGCTCAGCTTTTGCAACAGGAGGCCCAGGGGGATCCAGTTATGGCTATACTGTGTATTTAAGTCTTACAATGCCCAGGAAGTCTTACAAAGCCCTTAGAGGAGGTGGGCGCATGCACGGTTCTGTATGTACAGCTACGGTGGGTGTCGGAAGGCAGCCAGGGCCAAGGCGATCAACTGCCCCTGCCCTGATCAACTCCTACCTTAGGTGGTTTACAGACAGACCCTTTGATCATTTTTTAAACTGTGTGTGTGTGTGTGTGTGTGTGTGTGTGTGTACTTATTAAAATATACATCCTAGCAAAAAAAGTATGGCTCATTGATCAATTCATAAAACACAGAGTCAGTCCAACACCGTGTTACAATAGAAAATAAACTTCTTCCAAAAGAAGTGTGAGAGTTGATGTCAAAAACCCTGTTTGAGCTCACAAATGAAAAAGTATTTGTGGAAGGGCCATTTTGTCAGCTAGTCAGAGGTTGTCCAGGTGGGAGCCAGGACTCTGGGAGGTCAGGCTCCAGGCCTTCAAGAATGGGAGACCAAGGCTCAAAGGCCAGTCTCTCGAAAACAAGAGCTAATGAAGTCTGCAGTGTCTATCTGGTACACCGCGCAGAAGGCAGAAATAAAAATATCGCATCAATTCACTCGCTCCCCATGCCCGCAATCTCAATCTGCGCACCAGTGCAGCTCCTGCTAGGTGGCCACGCCCGCTGCAGCCCATTCCTGCGGGCACCTTGAAACCAAGCAACCGCTCCCCTTTCATACCTGCTCCAGCATTGGAGCCATTTCGTTGGGATCTTCCTTTTTTTCCGCACCATCCACCCCAACGGCTTTGGATGCCAACAAACCTTGAGGAAAATTGTACAGAAACAGCTTATTAGAAAAAAAACCACAGTGATGTGCACCCTAATCCAGTCCTCAGAAAACTTAGCAGCTGACATCTCCCACATCCTCGACACGGAGAGGCAGCCAACAGGCCCAAGGGTTTAGTTGACAAACAGACAAAACACCTTTGTGATGAGTCCAGGGGCTGGGTTAGAACTTGAGACTTGTTCGCAGAAGTCTGTGCTTGTTCTAATCTTAAAGGCACCCTTTCACAAAGTATTGTTACAAATAAAGCTTCCGTGGTTTAAAGGATCACTTAAAAGATTGTTTATCCCAGTAATACAGAATCTATGTAAGTAAGAAAAAAGGCAGAAGACAGGGAAGTCCTCGTGAACATAGAATATTAATGAAGGTCTATTTTGTTGGTGAATTAATCCCCAACTAAAAAAAAAAAAATTCCTAATTTTCTATTTTCCCCTGCATAATTTATACTAAGTTGTATGTATTTTTCTCTTCGAAAAAGCATTTTTAAATGCCCAATGATTTCTTCTGACAAGAGTGTCCAAAACACTGCTGGAACCACCACTGTTGGCTGGGAAACGAGTGGGAGGGCAGGTCCCTCCAGAACACCTGATCTTTACTTACTATCATACCCTCATTCCACAAATGATGGGCTAATCTGAAAGTCCCTACCTTCCCCAGTGTGTAGCACTAAATCTCAATTTCAGAAGACAAATATTTTATCTGAAAATTAATTTTGTAAGGCATGAAAACTCAGCTCCAATTTAAAATTAAGAGATAAAGATTTAATCTCTACTAAACTTGTCAGCTATCTTCAATACACATATTTCAGTTTTTGCTTATGTCCACGTGCAGACAACAGACCAACCACCAAAAAGAATTTTCTGTGCCACTGCTAAGTGGTTCAAACAAATGCCCTGCCTCACAGGGCCATGTCGAACACTGCACGGCCCAGCAGCGCAGGGGACGCTGTCTACAACACAAAGCCACACACGGGCACGCCAAAGGCCCTAGGGCTTAGAACAATGTCTACTTGTTTCCATCGACTTACCCCCCCAAATGTGAACAGATCTAGAAAAACATTCAAATGTCAAATCCACAAGCTTCCAGCAGGCCTGACCTCGAATGTTACATTGTGCAAAATGCACTTTCCCCTACAGGGACATCAAATATGTCAGGCTCAGAGTTCAAATACAAAGGGAAAGACGCTGCGTGTAAAACAGTGACTGCGATACACCAATGACAATATGAAAAACAGTCCTGGGCCTGGTCCGACATCACAATCTACATCTTTTGTCCCAGGCCCATTCAACAGCAAGTGCCAGTTTCAATGGGAACAAAGGTACACCAACAATTTTATGACATTTACCATCATTTCATAACAAACTCATGAATTGTGAATCATTTTGTACTAATTATATATATAATTTGAAATACAGTATGTGATATTTTATATATAAATTTGAGATATTCTTTACATGACTCAAAAGATATAGTACATAGCTGAAACCCACATGCATTTGTGTTCTTTTTTAATGAACACTGTTGAGAATCAATGGACTGCATGAATTCACAAAACTAAGGGATCACATTCTTCTTTGACAGGGGACAATTACAGATTCTCAGAGCTATTCAAATGGGACAACTATTTGCTATTGAACCTGGTAAGTAACTACTCATATTTCTTTTGCTTCCAATATATGTAATAAGTAAGTGATAGAAATACTTTTTAATATTCATCAATCGATAGAAGAAAAATACATTATAAAATTAATAGTAAGATGCTACAAGCTTCTACAGAAACAAAGTAAGTGTTAGTAGGGCTAAATTTATAACATTTGCATAATAAAAGGTCTGTGCATTCTAAGGAATTCCTATTCAATGGCTTGAGGAAAAAACCCTCAAAAGCCTTTTGTAACATGCTCAAGGAAAATACTGGGGCGTTCAATAAAACCCACTTAAAATGTAGATCAGAAATGCAGCCTGTGTTCTCTAGGAAGTCCACAGGTCCCAAACATCAAGTTTTTATACTTTCTCTGTTCACAAGCATATCTGAGGGTTGGCCATCCCCTTGGTGTGTGAAGAGGGTGGTGACTGCTGCCATAGGAGGCAGCCCCCAAGTCTGTGTATCTTGACCCACTACCAGCCAACAGAGGCAGACACGCTCCTCAGAAGATGAGAATGAGTTGGGGGTGAGGGGTGGGAGGGGGACCAGATACAAATGAGATTACTTTTAATTAACAGCAAATACTTCTTATGAAAACATCACTAGCATGTCCTGTCTCTGTCTATACACTAGGCAACTGTCTTTAACAGATGCACAAATGCATTTTCAAGAAACTAAGCATTAGAATCAAAATACCAAACACTCATGAATCATACCTGCCAACCAATCCACAAATGTGCTACACTTGGCCCTCAACAGTACCATGGACAGCAGGCCTAGCCCAGCCTAGAGGAAGTAAAGAGATGAGCCATCTGGGGACAGGTAGAGAACGCTGAGAAAAGGACCTTCGTCACTGAGGTCTTTCTAACACCTTTTGTTAAAATTTAAAAAACACAGTAGTATTGTCCATATTGTCATGATTACCAGTAAGAAGCCCCAGTGGTGTAATGGTTATACACTGAGCTATAGACCATAGTAAGATCATCAGTGAGACAGGGCTTTCTTCTCCCAGAGAGAGTTACCATCTTGGAAAACTCACAGGGGGCAGTTCTACCTACCCTGTGCTATGTATGGGATTGATTTGAGTCAGCATGAACTGGATGGTGAGTTTGGTTCTTGGATTGTGGTCAATTTAAATGTTATTTTTAAGTCCCTGGTAAGGCACGAACCCGTCTAGGCTGGCCCCCTTGCCAGGCCCTCAGAAAGTAGCCTGTACCAAAGGCCAGGGCAATCCTGCCCGTTCCCTTCACACCCCGTCTTCAAAAACCTACTTAAAGCCCTCCTGTTACCTTGCACCTTTCCCCCACAGGCCACCTGATTGTGAAAATGGATTACTGTAAGTCAGTATGCAAAAAAAACAAACCACATGATACAACCATCACCAAGGCCCATAACAAAAAAACTTAGATCCTGGTAAAACACCCATATGCCAGAAAACACATTTTCAAAAACCATCTATTTGGATCCTGATTGCTGTGCTGTCCAGACAGTGTAGCCTTCTCCCTGCACAAGTGTGCCTGATGGCACAGGCAGTGGAGAGTAAACAAGTGCCGAGTTGCTGACCACTGTGGTACACGGCTTGGCTGCTGGAAGCCGGACTTTGCTGTGTGAAACATACCACGGTCCCACTATCCCACCTTCACTCCCACGGGGACTTGCAGTTGAAGTGCACAGCAGCACGTCTGAGCCTCCTAGTGGGAAATGTTTTGACATTACGTAGATGTAACGGGAAATCAGAAACAGGTGCAGGAAGACTACTGAGCAGACACCTAGGATCTGCACAGCACATACAGGAAAGAGCTGGGACGGCCTTGGCAGCTCTAAAGTCGTATGTTCTTAGTTGCTGTCCACCTATCACTTGTTCATCTGAGACTGCGGTAGGAAGCATGACTGCCCAAGGCCCTCTGGAGGAGCCCTTGGCTGGTACCAAGCAACCAGGATTACAACATCTTTAAGGCCCAAGGGAGGATGGTTCTTTTTATCACCGAACTGGACTGTCTTTTCCAGGCTGTATGGGAGGTGCCTTGCAGTGGATGGTGACTGCAGCTGCCAATTTCTTTACACCTGAAGCTTGATCCTGACCCGGACAGAAGGGTAGGCTGAAGGGAGGCCAGCAGCTGTGTTGTGACCACCGTTGTCTCTGAAGTCTGCTTGTCCAGAGGTGCTGTTCCCCCACCACACACAGCACAGGCACCTGAGGGTCCTCAGCTCACCCGTGTCTGCTGCGGCACACTAAACTCACAAGTGGCCATCATCAAGTTACCTAGGTAACACGTGGAATGGGTAAGTCAATTTGAAATTACTCCTGCCTGCAGCCAAACACATATCCTCCATCAGAGAAAGGCTGCCAAAGGCGGTACACTAACTAATGGAAAGAGGATTTGTATTTTCATCTGTTGAGACGAAACCACCATCACTTGGACCAGAGAGGCAGTAAAACAGCTTCTGCTGTCGGCTTGCGCAACCTTGGCGGTGGGCTCCCATCGTGGAGAAGCGACCCAACCTCCCCCTGACTCCTGGATCTGAAGGCGATGGAAATGACTGGAAGAAAGGTCAGCCAAGGCTCGGATAAGCCCAGAGAGACTAAAAACCATTTGGCCTTAAGAGAACATACGCCTGAAACCTGACAGCACCGTAACTCCTCTTTTAACAAATCCTCAGAAAAATATACCGCTTCTCATACCTAATCTAAAATGAAGACGAGTGATCATTCAGCTGAATAGGTCTGGTGGTAGGTGGGTTGGGTTGGGGTGGGGCGGGGCGGGGCGGTGGGGTGTAATCACTGGGTCTAGTATGACTGGGCCCAATTGGAATGCTCCACTGCCCTCTTTTATGACACTAACCAAGTTAGGCTTTCCAACATTTTCCATCATACTAACTCTGCTACTTCCTAAATTACGTCAAACATGGAGAGGTAAGGCCCAACAGTGGAGAGTGATCAGAGGCAAGGACAGAAAGGAGAGACTTCAGGCACTGAACAGAATTCAGACATCCATCTTGCAACCACCTAAGCACAGCACCATGCTGGGCTGAGACTGGCCAGGAGTCAATGAGCATGGTTATATACCTGTATAAAGAACTTTTCTAGGAATTGCACCACCACAGTTGGACAGGCCGATACACGTAACTCACAGAGACTGCTCCCTCCTACCACCCAGGTGGGTAAAACAGGTGGTGTCCCAACACTGGCCCACAACACCCCTGTGAGGTCGGCAGATGGCAGGTGGCATTTCCCACACTATACAGCAGCAGGACATGGCCTTAAAGACCCATAAGGCAACAACCTTTCTTGATAACTGGTTAACAAGAACTCAGAGATGCAGGTATTTTATTAAAAAACACACAATGACTCTAAAATGAAGCCCTCCATTCCCGCCCCCCCCCC